CAGACCAAGTCGCTCGATAGATTCATATCCCAGGATTGGAACATAACCTGGCTCCACGACAACAAAACTCACGACAGAAGAGATTCCGCTTCTGGGATTTTTCAGTGTAATAGTGGTTTCTTCTTTCGGCTTCACGTTTGCACCGTTCCACATAACCAATCTCGTTTGGGTAGGGTCCAATTTGGTATCGGGCATGCAATTTCTCGGTATTATGTTCACGGACGCGCCAGAATCTAGTTGGAAGGTTACTTCTTCTCTATTCACCAACATCTTTGCAAATATGCCTTTCCGTTTGCCTGGGAGTTGTACGCCATTGATACGATCAGCTGCTGGAACGTGAGGTTCTGAGGTTGACTCCTTCTTGATGAAGCACTTTGCTGCAAAATGATTACGCCTATTGCGGTTATCGCACGTTTTTCCGCAGGCAGGGCAGTTGCTCCTTCCCCTCATACGCATGCGGCCAAAGAAACAGCAAGCAGTCGTTGGATGTGTTCGATTTTCAGCGATAATTTTACACAATCCATAATCCTCTGTTGTGGTAAGCGTCTCCATATGCTTCTCTGCTGCTTCTTCACTCCGACATATATCAATGCATTGTTTCAAAGTCAGCTTTGGAATTTTCAGGAGGCGCTTCACCACAGTAGAATCCCGTAGGCCAACGACAATTTGGTCCCTTATTAGACTCTGTTCCAGACATGCGCAGAAATTGCACGAACGAGCCAGGGATTTTAGTGCTAGGACGAATGTGTTGAGGGACTCACCATGTTGCTGTTTCCTCTGGTTGAAAATGTATCGTTCATAAGTCTCGTTAGATTCGCCAAGACAGTAGCGCTCCATCTTCGCCATCAACACCTGCTAATCTGCACGGTCCTCATCCGGACTGTACGTGAATCCATTTATGACACGCAGAGCATTCGGACCAATCGTGTGACGGAACAAAGTAAATTGCACCGGACTGGATTCGCGGTCCATCTCTGTCAGTGTACGAAAGTCTCCATACTGTGTTCGTCACAGATTCCAGTTATCAGCCAATCGCCCCGTCTCCTCCATATTCAGGTACGCCGGCGGTTGGACCTGCAGTCGACTATTCATTCTCTCCGACATTGGGAATTTCGTATCATTTTCCGCTGCTACCATGTCAAAATTCGATTCTTCAGGAAATGCTCTCAATATATTTTCTCTAGTCCACTGGACACAAATCACATTTGGGAAGGGAATCATTGGCGTTTATATATAAACCTGAACCAATCAGATTGTTCAGGTCGACAAAAGCCTTGTACGGACCAATCATAAAAATGCAATTGATGCAGTAAAACAAAACAATCAATTCAAACGACATTACAACACAACCAACTTGAGTGGTACACTAGTGTTTACGAGACCAAAACGAGCCGCAGTAATTGCTCAAAACCGTGTCTCAGACTGGGACCGTGCGGTTCGATACGCAGAAAAGACAAAAAAGCTAAGTGACTTAGAGCTTTCGCTACAAGTAACAGAGGAGTTATTCGGTTGAAATTGAAGGGGTAGTTTCGTATCTAGCGATCATAATCCCAAGTAACCTTTCTGTGAAAAACAAAACATTTAAATGTAAGAAACGGTGATGATTCATTCTCAGGGCAATGGATCTGAGATCGATTTAATTGAACTAACAAAAGCTTTCCAAGAAGTTTGAAACAGTCCCAGTGAAGTTCGTTGGTTGTGACTAAACCACAGCCTATTCTATCCTAAGAATTGTTGAATTGTAAGTGAATTGACGAATATGAACGGAGAGAGGACATACCCAGGGGTAGATTGAATGCGCTAAATTGGCCGCGACCAGCACCATGCGCGAACTGGGCTGTTCGATCATTCGCATCGGACTGGATTTCCATTCCCGTGCCAGGAAAGAATCCAGGCGCCGCGTGGTGGACGGAAAAAGTGACTACGTGTGCACTGTACCAGAATGCCTGTTCCACTCCGTCCGCATGATGCAAATCGAAATCCACATAGAGGACACGATTACGGGACGAGGGAAGGTCCGTCGGACGGGCGAGAAAGTGATGAATTGCCAACACGATATCATTCAAGTAGCAAAAGCCAGCGGCTTCGGAACGTTTGGCATGATGCCAACCACCGGCAAAATTCAAAGCCACCTGAAATGATTATTCGAGGAGTAGCAGACGGACAGAGAGACAGAGAGGGTGTGTTTGCGTGTCACAAATGCCATGATCAAGGAGTGGATCACGCACCGTCAATACAGCGGGTGTATGCGCTTTGTGTCACTGTCACTCGGCAATAGATAAAACGTATCGATGCATGAGGTTATGATAATAAACACCCAAAAACGACGAGGCTACACAGTAAGATTGGATTCGCGTGTCCGACATGGAAGGATAAAAAGGATCAAGTGAAGGAACTACTACTACTGCCACTACTACTATTAGTACTACTACATCAATGTGCGGTATCGTCGTGATGGCAGTTTCGTTGTGGTGTTAACATACCTAAATTTTAGTTTAGATCGAAAGCAAATATAAAAACCTATGAATTCTTGATATCTCCATACATCCCGTCGGGCAGGTTTAACA